AATATCGCGGGTCCGTCTTTCTCCGTCTTTTGAACTCTTTCACATTCAGGCAGGTTTACGATTAGATTTGCACGTTGTCTGTTTTGAAAAGCTTAAAAGTGCAATTTCACGCTGTTCAAATTAAGAAAAAACGACCCGTCTCAACACTAGAAATAACGATAAACACAAAGTATGAATGTTGGAACAGGTTTTGTACTAAAGTGACTGGAAAGATATGCAAACTAAGTGCCTTAAAAGTCTGTCGGGAATCCTGATAATTACAGTTTTCCATGTTCCCTCCATATATTTGCTTATTTTCAACAGGACTCGGCGGGGGGGGGGGGTATGGTTTCCTTTTAATTTTTTGAAAGATGAATAGTTACTGTTGTTATATTGAGATAAACAGAACGTTTAGTGGAAGTAACACTTAGCCCCACATCCTGCCGTTTCTGTCTATTTATATTTTACTTTTGCTTTTCTTACCAGTATGAAACCACACAGAGAGAGAGAGAGAAGTAAATGGATGAATAAAATAAATCCAACAGTTTTTTGTACCATCATTTGTCAGTTTAATTGGAAAAAAACTCCCACAATGTTTAGAAAGGACTGTATGAAAATGTGTATGACTTCTATAATGGTCTGAGTCGTATGTACTTTTTATATTGAGAATACCTAATGGAGATTAAACTTTTTCTTCTTTAACACTTTAAGCCGCTGCCTTCTCTTTTTTTACCTGCAAAACATTGAGTTTGGTCTCATTTTTCTGGGTGTTCAGATGAGTTTCAGCCTTTCTACTTTACACATCATAAATACTTTAATAATCCCAGGGGTAAATTATTATTATCCATTATCATCATTATTATTACAAATTATTTTCTATCATCCTACACATGTAGGATTATGGAGCCTGTCTATTTATATTTAATTTTCCCTGTTCTTACCAGTATGAAACCACACAGAGACAGAGAGAGAGAAGTAAATTGATGAATAAAACAAATCCAACATCAGTTTTGTTTCATCATTTGTCAGTTTAATTGGGAAAAAAACACAATGTTTAGACAAGACTGTATATTCGTATTGACTTTTTATATTGAGAATACATGACGGAGATTCAATTTTTCCTTCTTTAACACTTTAAGCCGCTGCCTTCTCTTTTTTTACTTGCAAAAACTTGAGTTTGGCTTAATTTTTCTGGGTATTCAGATGAGTTTCAGCCTTATTATCATTATCATCATTATTATTATAACTTTTTTTTCTACTATCCTACACATGTAGGATTATGAAGCACAGGCAGAAATCGACAGATTAAACTTTTCCTTCTTTAACACTTTAAGCCGCTACGTTTTCTTTCTTTACCTGCAAAACTTTGAGTTTGGTCTCATTTTTCTGGGTGTTCAGATGAGTTTCAGCCTTATTATCATTATCATCATTTTTATTATAAATTATAAAGTAAATTGATGAATAAAATAAATCCAAAATTAGTGTTTTGTACCATCATTTGTCAGTTTATTTGGAAAAAAACCCACAATGTTTAGAAAGGACTGTATATTCGTATTTACTTTTTATATTGAGAATACACAATGGAGATGACATTTTTCCTTCTTTAACACTTTAAGCCGCTACGTGTTCTTTCTTTACCTGCAAAACATTTGATTTTGGTGTAATTTTTCTTGGTTTTCTGATAAGTTTCACCATTTCTACTAGGACAAAACCCCAATCAGGCCTCAAATGGCGCCCCCTCCTGGTCGGGGAACTGGGGGGCGCAGCCTCTCTTCAGCTTCTTTCCCTCCGGCGTGCCCCGGAAAAACTCCAGGTAGGACGAGAACACGTACTTGTTCAGGACTTTGATGCGGCCGAACACGTCCAGCTCGGAGAAGTTTACTTTAGACTTTTTTGGAAGATGAATAGTTACTGTTTTTATATTGAGATGAACAGAACGTTTAGTGGAAGTAACACTTAGCCCCACATCCTGCCGTTTCTGTCTATTTGTTTTATTTTCCCTGTTCTTACCAGTATGAAACCACACAGAGAGAGAGAGTAAATTGATTGAAAGTAAATTGATGAATAAAATAAATCCAACATGAGTTTCTTGTATCATCATTTGTCAATTTATTTGGAAAAACCCCACAATGTTTTGACTTTTTATATTGAGAATACACAATTGAGATGACATTTTTCCTTCTTTAACACTTTAAGCCGCTACGTTTTCTTCCTTTACCTGCAAAACATTGAGTTTTGTTAAATTTTGTTGGGTTTTCAGGTAAGTTTCACCATTTCTACTACAGACAGAAACAAGTCAGGCCTCAAATGGCGCCCCCTCCTGGTCGGGGAACTGGGGGGCGCAGCCTCTCTTCAGCTTCTTTCCCTCCGGCGTGCCCCGGAAAAACTCCAGGTAGGACGAGAACACGTACTTGTTCATGACTTTGATGCGGCCGAACACGTCCAGCTCGGACAAGTTTACTTTAGACTTTTTTGGAAGATGAATAGTTACTGTTTTTATATTGAGATAAACAGAACGTTTAGTGGAAGTAACACTTAGCCCCACATCCTGCCGTTTCTGTCTATTTATATTTTACTTTTGCTCTTCTTACCAGTATGAAACCACAGAGAGAGAGACAGTAAATTGATTGATAGTAAATTGATGAATAAAATAAATCCAACATGAGTTTCTTGTATCATCATTTGTCAGTTTAATTGGAACAAAAACCCACAATGTTTAGAAAGGAGTGCATGAAAATGTGTATTAGTATTGACTTTTTATATTGAGAATACACAATTGAGATGACATTTTTCCTTCTTTAACACTTTAAGCCGCTACGTTTTCTTTCTTTACCTGCAAAACATTGAGTTTGGCTTAAATCTTTTGGGGTTTTCAGGTGAGTTTCAGCCTTTTTACTAGGACAAAAACCCGATCAGGCCTCAAATGGCGCCCCCTCCTGGTCGGGGAACTGGGGGGCGCAGCCTCTCTTCAGCTTCCTCCCCTCCGGCGTGCCCCGGAAAAACTCCAGGTAGGACGAGAACACGTACTTGTTCATGACTTTGATGCGGCCGAACACGTCCAGCTCGGTGTGCTGGAGAAGTTTACTTTAGACTTTTATTGAATATGAATAGTTACTGTTTTTATATTGAGATGAACAGAACGTTTAGTGGAAGTAACACTCAGCCCCACATCCTGCCGTTTCTGTCTATTTCTTTTTAAATTTTGCTCTTCTTACCAGTATGAAACCACACAGATAGAAAGAGAGAGAGACGTAAATTGATGAATAAAATAAATCCAACATCAGTTTTTTGTCATTTGTCAGTTTA